CGGTTTGCTTGTTTCTGGGCTCAGCATCCTTCGCTTGGAGAGCAGATTGTGAGGATGTCTCAGGCGGGGCGCTGGTATCAGCACCCCTAAGGGGAGCCGCCAGGGGTGGTTGCACGGGCTCGTTCGCTGCCATTTTGTGGGGATGTCTCAGGCGGTTTGCTTGTTTCTGGGCTCAACATCCTTCGCTTGGAGAGCAGATTGTGAGGATGTCTCAGGCGTGGCGCTGGTTTCAGCACCCCTAAGGGGAGCCGCCAGGGGTGGTTGCACGGGCTCGTTCGCGGCCATTTTGTGGGGATGTCTCAGGCGGTTTGGCTGTTTCTGGGCTCAACATCCTTCGCTTGGAGAGCAGATTGTGAGGATGTCTCAGGCGGGGCGCTGGTTTCAGCACCCCCAAGGGGAGCCGCCAGGGGTGGTTGCACGGGCTCGTTCGTGGTCAGGGTCAGTTTGTGGGGATGTCTCAGGCGGTTTGCTTGTTTTCATGCCCAACATCGCCGGCGGGGCTGCGCCTCCAAAAGTGGTGAAACGCGCCCTGGGGAACCAGGGTTGAGGAGGAAGAGGGGGAGGAAGAGGAGAAGGAGGAGGAGGAGGAGGAGGAGGAGGACTGGGGGAGGAAGCAAGGGGATCAGGACGATGAGGTGAAGGATGACGACAAGGATGAGGAGGATGATGTCTAAGAGATTGAGGACGAGGAGGAGGATGGCGTGAGCGAGGGAAATGACAGGAACGAGGATGAGGAGGAGGAACAGGAGGAGGAGGAGGAGGAGGCGGGGGATCGTGAGGAAGGGCATGGGGGTGCGGAGGGGGAGGGGGAGCAGGAGGATGAGGAGGAGGAGCAGGAGCAGGAGAAGGGAGGGGGCGGAGGAACAGGAGGAGGAGGAGGAGGAGGAGGAGGAGGAGGGCGCTTTGCTCGAAGGTCCTTGACGCGAGCAGAACGTTTGTTCCGAAGTCCAGGACATATATATATATATATATATATATATGTATTCATAGGGGGTGACTGCGAGGGGGGGGCGGTGGTTGTGTGCGGGGATCGTTGGTGCACTCGCTTGGTCTGCTGGGTTTCGGGACGATTCGCAGAGGTGTACGGAAGGTAAGCCGGCCCCGGGTTGGGCGGTGCAGGCCAAACCGGAAGAACCTACGGGAGGGAACGAGCTGTAAGTCACGCCACCGGAGCCTTCCGTGGCCACATCTTCGGCCCGACATCTTCTTTCCTAGTATATATGGCGGAACTTCCGAGGTTACAGTGGCCCTCGCGCCCCAACCGCTTGAGGAAGCACTCACGCCGAACGGTTCGAGGGTTCCGGAGAAACGCTTTTGAGTCTGACTCATACGCAATCACTCGCATTAGGGGTCACTCGTCTTCGTCGGCCCTGTCGCCCACGTGGACGCGCTATTGTAGTCGACCGCTCATGAACAGACGCTCACCACGGCATGACATAAAACATGAGATGCACATATGGGGAGCTCCACGCAGTGAGTAATGTTTGTGTCATTGTTCGCGTCCCTAGACAAGGCCGCGCTGCCAGAAGCAATCCTCGGAACCGTTCTGGGCGATGCCCTCGGGGGTGAAAAGGATCTGGAGCATCGAAGGTCCAGGACCCAGTGCTCTTCTCGCGCGCCCAACCCCTGCGCAGGGGCCTCTCGGGGAACTCGCGGCGGCGTGAGCGCAGGGAGGAAGCCTGACCGTCGACTTCATCGCCTTCGCGCTGCCTGGGCCGAGTGTTGCCGACAGCCGCGCACCATTCCATCTCTGACAGCTGGCGCCCCGCGGGGGAAGGCCCGAGGCTCTGGGCGCACCGTCTGCAAGACCGGCTGTCGCCCCCCCCGGCCCCAGGCCCTGGCCGCGAACGTGCGAGGAGGCCCGCGCCAATTGTTGGCCCCTGATGGTATCCTCGAACGCCTGGGCCAAATCAGGAAGACCCGCGGCAGGGCCCAGAGCACCCCCGAATGCCAAAGCCTCCCTGGAGAGGTCCCCATTGAGGCCTGGCGCCCCATGCGGCGACGGAGGCAGGGCCCCAACGAGGCTGCAACAGCTGCGCGATGATCGCAGACATGGAACCCCCTGATTTGACGACTGCGCTGGCCTCTGGAATATCAGCTAACCTGGCGGCCGCCCTGGGCCACGCCGACCCGCCCCCCGTTCTGACCCTGCGCTTGGCAAACCGAGACGACAGCCATGATTGCAAGGATTCACGCGGAAGGCGATCGCCTGGGTCTCGGTTCACAGATATCACGTCCAAGGGCTGAGCGGTGCAAGGCCCTCGCTTGGCAGAGGACGCGACGCGGGCGAGCCAACGTCTTCTCTGAACGATGTGACAGCCGAGCACGCCGTGGACCTGCTGTCCGCAAGGTCCTGCTGGTGGTGATCCCGAGGACTCGAGACGCACGGCTGGGCGCTATCTAGACGACGCCCTAGCACGACGAAATCTAATATCATGCATGGCCATGCCTTTGCCAACTCTCTTGCGTTGGGTGGTGCGCGCATTCCGACTTGCGCCTGTGTCCAAGCCAACGTAGCTTGCCTGCAGGACTGGGACGACCGTGACCCCCTTCCTCTTGAGGCACGAAGCTTCATAGCGCGCACCACGGTGATCCGAGCACAGCACCACGCTCTTGGCTGCCGGCGACCTGCAGCCCTTCAGCCTCCAGCACCTCGCCAGTGTGCGCCAGCACCTTGACGGGGCCCTTCCTCGCGGCAGCTCGGGGTGCGCGAACTTGCCGGGAGAGGTCGTCGATCCGCAACCTCACGTCGACCATGGGTTGGGTGGCTGTCAACCCTTCCATGATGCAGTAGGTCATGCAGCAAGCGAAACGCGTCCCATTAAGCAGTCCTTGAGTCACGCTTCCTGCGGGTCGAAACGCATCTGCGTAGCACTCCTTCTGCGCCAGCGCCCTCGGCGCCAAGCGCAACGGCAACTCGAGGAGGAGGACGGCGGTTTGGCAACCCCAGACCGCCGCCGCACGAGCAAGTCGGATCCACCCTATGCTGCCGCAGAAGCTCTGGATGTCCACAAGCCTGCGGCCGCAACCCATCCCAAGCGTGCTGGAGACATCCCCCCCACCATGCGTACAAATCCTCCGTGTGGGGTGAGTTCCCTGACGCCGCCGCCGCATCCCCGCGTGGCCGGGTGTCGGCGGCGCCCACTGCTTGACCAAAGGTTCCCTGGCCCACGACCACGTGCGGGGAACCATCCCCACCAAGCCGATGGTGCAGTCCCCTGCCGATTTCTTCGGGAGAAGCCTCGCGATGGTGAATGAGAGCTGCCACGGCCATGCGCCGCAGCACGCCCGCCAACTCGTCCAATCTATGCTGAGGCAATCGTCGGATATCGAGAGGAGAGAGCTTATCAACTCCCTGCCCCGCCCTCGGTCTCATCTGGCGGGCTGCGAGCTGGAGCTGGGCACCAGTGGGTGCGGATAGCTCATGAACGTGGGCATCATCACGAATAGCGTCGAATGCGTTGATCAACTCGATTGGATCGTTCAGAAATGTATGCCTTTGCTTCACCTTGTGGTCCACTATGTCCCTGGGGTGGAAAAGGATGGTGCTGTCGATGCTGAGCTCCTCTGTTGGTGGGGGAAATAGATTGATGCTCTTGTGAGGTATGTTTGCTGCTGGCTCGGTCACGATCCGAGAACGAAGCTCCTCCAATGAGGCGTGGATGGCACGCCCCCCGGATCTACGCTCAGCTCGCTCGGCGGCCGACACCATGTCGCGCAGAACGGGAAGATGAAACTATGATACGATCCGAGGGTGGGTGAGCCATTGATCCCTACTCGTCTTCGACGTGGGCAATGCTACATGAACATGAGCTGGGTGTTGTGCGATCCTACGCTCGCGCTCTTCAGCAAACGCATCACGCTGTCGCTGCTCGCTTTGCTTCTCGCGATGATGCAGCAGTCGGGCAAGTAACGCGTGAGCTCTGGTCCACCAAGCGCTGCGCACATTCTGAAAGCGGTGCCGCACGCACTCGCTCCTGCATGTGAACCTGATGGGCCGCAAGCCTTGGTCCCGTGGCCCTGCCCGGTGCCAACGGGTTCGGCCGCAGCCCGTGATGGTCGGAGATGGTGCGCTCGGCGGGTGGCGCTGCAGGCGTTTCCTCGGAATGCCCCTCGTGGTGCGTGTCTCGAGGAACTCCACGCTTTCCCCGAGGGGGGGGGGAGCCAGAGGGCCGCCCAACCTCGGCCACTCAACCTCGGCCAACCGAGCTCCGAATCGGCCGCTGGCTTGGTCGACATGGCGAGCGCCTGCCTTGTAGGCAAGAGAACTGGAAACAACGCCCCGCTGGCACAGTGCAGCAAGGGCACCGACTTGGGTGCGATGCCTGGAGCCAGGATGAGGACGGAATGGAGAAGGTCGGGGGAGGAGCAGCAGCATCACCAGCTGCCGTACACCCTGGTGGGCACGAGCCTTTGCTCCAGCCGAGTGCTCGGCGCGGGCTGCCTTCGCTCGCGACGGCTTGGAGCCAGGAGTGGGGATGAAGGTGGGGTTGTGTCACTGTGGCAGCTTGGCTGCCATAAGAAACGAGCGTGTGAGAAGTTGGGTTGGGCTGCTATACCACTGGAATGCAAGAGAAGCCCGCAGTGAGTTTTCCACAGGATATCGGCTATGGTTTCAAGACGGGCAACGTATGTGATAAACTCGTTATGGCCAATGCGCCATCAATCTCAGATATCTGACACTGGCCGTGTACGTGACCGACGCATTGCAAGCTGTGAGAACGTGACCTTGGACTCGATCGACGAAGCCTCGTCTTTTCAAAAGGCTGGCTGGCATGTTCCAGCCCGCCAAAACTACCTAGGGCAACTGGAGGCTGATTAGGAGGGCCCCAAGACGACGGAACCTGTAAGTTCCTCCCACACCAGCCCCCCTCCAGAATGCCTATAAAAGCAATCAGACACTGCATAGAACCATGTCATATCCAGAACCTGCCCAGATGTCGAAAGACATAAATTCTCGATCCTCGAGCCTCCTCTCCACGACTACCACCCCTCAAAGCCTCCGCGTCGTAGGGCACGCTGGCCGTGCCGTCCACGAAGCCCAGAGGCGGAGAGTACCCCATGCCCTGCAGCTGTGGGGAGGGAGGGGACGATCCCTCCCTGCGCTCTGGCCCTGCTGGCAGGAACTCTGGCACAGCGCGTCGCGGCGGCGGCCCAGGCGGCACGCCATGCCTTGCGAGCGGGCAGCGTGTCGTTCCGCTCCGCGTGGCGGGAGGCCGGGAACAGCTCTGGACGTGGACGCTCCGGGGACCAGACCGCAGACAGCGTGCCGCGCCCAAGCGTGGCGGGCCAGAACCGGCGGCGCGACACGCTAAGCTAGCGTCTCGTGCCACCTTTCTCATTCTGTCTTCGTTCCACCTCTGTACTCTCTCATGATGTGTTTTCGTTCCACCTTTGCCGCAAAGCGAGATCACAACGAAAACGGCCCACGAAGTTGCCAAAACACCGTTCAGCTCGAGCCCCGCTAGATCGCTGGCGACACCTTGCTGTAGGATCGCAGGGGGAGAAACATGGCACAAGCCGAAGGCTTCCCTCCCAACACCGAGGCGACAGATCGGATCGGATCGAAGGGTGCATCGCTTCGTGCAATATCGACATGGAATCGGAATCAAAAATCCGACCTGCCGTGCCAAGGCGCACATCATCGCCGTGCTCAAGCAATGCCGAAACAGATCGTCGGAACTCTGCAAACGATTCGATCGGAACCACTCTCTAGACAGATCGAGCCGGCCTGAATCGATACCCAATGGGATCGACCCGATCGGAATGGGCCCTGTGAGCTGGGGCTTCTCCCCTCCTCCTCCTCCTCATCCTCCGCCTCCTGCCCGAGGCTCTCGAGGCTATCACCTCCAGGGGAGAGGCGCCCGCTCGTCTTCCTCCTCCTCCTCCTCCTCCTCCTGCCCCTCTCCCTCTTCCTCCTCCTCCTCCTCCTCCTCCTCCTCCTCCTCCCTCCTCCTCCTCCTCCTCCTCCTCCTCCTCCTCCTCCCCCTCCTGCCCTCCTCGTCCTCCTCCATCCCTTTTCCTTCTGACTGACGTCTCCCTGTGCGGGCCGGGCGTTCCGCCCGAGGCCTCCTCGCCGTTTCTGGACACGAGGTCCGAACATGTCGACAGCTTCGAGGATGCTCGCAAAAAGTGGCGATCGTCGTGAAAGTCTGCGGTAGCTTCTCTCTTTTGGAGAGGAGGAGGAGAAGAGGGGGAGGAGGAGGAGGAGGAGGAGGAGGAGGAGGAGGAGGAGGAGGAGGAGGCAGAGCGAGATGAGGAGGAGGAGGAGAGAGAGGAGGAGGAGGAGGAGGAGGAGGAGGAGGAGGAGGAGGAGGAGGAGGAGGAGGGAGCGAGAGCGCGACCACAGAGCTTCACTTGACTCGGCCTCGACTGCTGTGCGAGTCAAAAGCTCGCCAGGCAAACTGGGAACACCACGCGAGCCGACCTGCGATAGGCAAACCCGTTTACTGAACCGAAGCCTGCAAGAGGACCAGACGTGCGGCATGTGTGGGAAGAGGAAGTGGGGAGGAGGAGAGAACGCCACAACCTGGCAAACAGTCCACATGCCAGTTTGAACAACGCGGGGGTCGAGCTGGGATGCAGAGGAGACTTGTTCTGCCAGCGCACGCGCAACTAGTGCGCGCCTCGGCCCCGCTGTGCAGAGCCCTCCGATGCACGCAGCACGCAAAGCGTGGGGACGAGCTGCACCAGACCGACGAATCCGCACAAACAAGTCGGAGGGAGAGGAACAAAACGTGGGCAACCGCTTCAACGATGGAGGGCGGGCCGTTCTCTAAACGCGGCTCTCGCCTGAGAGCCGCGCGCGTGCGTCTAGAAGCTTGCGGCAGCTTCAAGTGCGGGCGGCGACTCCTTTCCAAAATGGGTATGTGGCTCTCGCCTCAGCGCTGCGCTGACTGTCGTGCAAGGATACAGACGTTTCAAGGATTCGTATGGTTGAAGTCCCAAGAAAGGTGTTCTGGCACGATTTGGGACTGTCCAGACGCACCAGTCACGGTGATGCACGATGTTGAAAGCCCAGG